AAAAGGCGAAGTTTGCTGCTGCGTCCACTTGAAAAGCAGTGCGCGGATTAGCGCGTCTTGTTCGCCGTCTGTCACCGCCCACAAATTGCCTGCAACCATAGGGCTGCAGCAGCGGCAGCAGCAGCAGCAGCAGCAGCAACAGGACACAAGAGGCAGCAACTCTTTGCACGCACGCGACTGCGTGCGAAAATGTACAGGTTGCTGCTGCAAGTGCTGCTGCAGCTGCTGCCGCAATCCTCCGGCAGCACAGAAACCGTGGGAACAACAGCAGCACCAGCAACAGCGGCAGCAGCAGCAGCAGCAGCAGCAAGGCCCCTCACCATCCTGCACAAAGATAGTCGACGACTGTCCCTGTTGGCTCTCCGCCGTCGCTGCTGCTGCGGAGTTGGGCGCTGCTGCAGCCGCAGAGCAGCACAGCCGCCTGTGCTGCAGGTCTTGGCTGCGGCGCCTGCGCAGCAGCAGCAGTAGTTGCTGCTGCTGCTGCTGCTGCTGCTGCTGCTGATGGCTCCTCCGGAAGCAGCAAACAACGCTGCAGCAGAGACATATCCACGAACTGCTCGCCCCCCTGGTGTCCGCAGTAGAGGAAGACCTCGGCGCTGAGCAGCAGCGACAGCCACTCGTTCTCTGCAGCAGAAGTAACAGCAGCAGCAACAGCAACAGACCAACAGGCCATGCACCTCTCAGTGCAGCAACTCGCGCAGCAGCAGCAGACTAGCAGCGGCACTTCCAGCGGCAGCTGCACGACCAGCGGGAGCTGCAGGAGCTCCTTGCTTAACAAACGAAGCAGCCTCTGAAGCAGCAGCAGCAGCAGCAGCAGCAGCAAGTGCAGCAGCAGCAGCGGCGCAGCGCCACCTCGGGGAGGCCTGTTGACAGCTCCGCGCCAGCAGCCAAACCCCCACTGCAGGAAAGGGAAGCAGCAGCGGAAAGTCCGCAGCAGCTCTCCTGAGGGATTTACGCAGACTCCCACGCCGCCTAACGGGACATTTCCGCATTTGCTGCTGCTGCTGCTGCTGCTGCTGCTGTCGCAGTTGCCTGGGCCGTGCGGGGTCCTGCTGCTGCTGCAGCTATCTGCGCCACAAGGAGCGCTGCTGCTGCTGTTGCTTGCGGCTTCTATGTTGCTGCTGCTGCTGCTACTGCGGCTGTCAGTATGCAAGC